TATGGGGTATACATATACATATATATATATATACGTATATACCCGCGAAAGAGGAGCAACAAGAGTGTGTCTCTCGTCCACCGCGCGCACACACACATATACATACTGCACATGTAAGAAAAAGAGGAGGAGGAGGAGGAGGTTGGTCGGTCATCGGCTGCAGTTCGCTAGCTCACATAGCAAGCGGGTGGCCTTGAGCAGGTCATCACCTCCGGGGCCCCGTGATCGCGCTCGCGCGCGTCGCCGGCTACTATGACTATTACCACCACCAACCATTATATGTATATATGTACTCTTTGTATATAAAACCATACTCTTATAAACCAGCATCAACAACAACACCACCATAATTGTCTATATATGTGTAGCTATATCTACAGCACACCGGCTTTGGTGGTATATGTATATACATGTATTCGCCAGCAGCCGTGGACCCATCTCTTCTTCTTCTTCTTCTTCTTCTGGTTCTCTCACTCGCTTCGCCTCTTCTTGCTCGTCTTCTTCTTCTATACTTTGTGCACTGGCGAGCGAACAAGTGAGCCCTGCAGAGAGGGGCCCAGCTGCTTAACTTGTATATATTTATATTTTCGCGGTGCAGAGCAGATATACGTGTAAGGCACCGATCTAGGAGTTTTCGCTCTCTCTTCTTGACGATCTACTGACGATTTTTTCTCGCATTTTTTAATATAGTCAAAGAGAGTTTTTTTTCCCCTCATTTTTTTTCAGGCTGGTTATCTTCTTTACTTTGCACCCTCGATCACATAATTATGCTGTCACTGATAACCTTCGAGGTGATGGCCAATGGCCCCGAATTCTCGTATAAAAACATAAGTACCCGTACTTTGTACAGCGTACCACGATCCCGAACATTCAAAAGCACCGACTCCTTTTCGTCCACTATTCCGCTAATAAACCACAAAAACTGACCCAGAACAACCCCATGCCCCGGACCTACATATTATGTATACACTCACCCGGTATAAACGAGTCCGTTTAGCCATTCCCTCGTCTCGTCCTATACGTTAGCTCCCACCTCCGGCAAACTAAAACAATATTCATCATTGTAATTACAGGGCGCTCCCTCTCCCTCTCTCTAATGTATACCTTCACGTACAATTTGCGGCATCAAAGACGCCCCTGTGCACTTGGTGCCGATTTATAATCAAAGTGCCGCTGTTTACGGACTGTTTGCCGATATATATTTATAAAACATTATCGGGCACAGTGCGAGTCTATTGCAGGGTTTTTTTTATTTTGAGGGCGTGTTTCCCTTGCACGCGAGCAAACGAAGAGCACTTAATTACCCGTGGATTTATGACAGCTCCCGACAACGACAGGACCGCGAGGTGAGATATATGTATGTGCGCACACTTTCGCTCCTCGTTTTGTTATTCGAGGGTAAGAGAGAGAGAGAGAGAGAGAGAGAGAGGAAGGGAGAGGTGTTTATACACGTTACGGGCAAAAGGAAGAGACTCGCGGCTGCCGGGGATTTATCGAGAGCCCCGTGCGTGCATCAGTCGCGCATGGGTTTCGTTAATTGGGAAAAAAAAAAAAAAAAAAATGAGAGCTCCTTTTTTTTCCTTCCTTACACTGGTAATGAGGCTTATTAATATTTGCAAACCTTTTTTTACTTTTTTCCTCCTCGCGATTTTTTTCGATTTCGGCTTCAGTTGGAAACGTACACCAGCAACCGCAGAGTATCTCTAAAAAAAAAAAAAGAAAAAAGAAAAAAAAAAGGAAATAGGACCCAGATTTTCATCCAACGCAATTAGCGCGCGTCCTAATGATCGTCATTCCCATCGGCCGTACGTGTGGTGATATAAAATTCGGTGATATAAAACTCGAGGAAAGAAAGAAAAAAAAAACAAGCAACGAGGTGTACGTACGTATATATACATATATAATATACACTCGAGCCCACATAAATTATACAGCTCTCGCCAATGCATCAGGCGCGGCGTGTATACATTTCCATTCGCCCACGCTTCGAGAAACTTTTCGCCTCCGTTCATTCACACCCGCTTCGACGGGAGTATACAAGTATACGAAATAAAATCGACGACGACTCCCACGCGGGTTTGTACGTGTGTATAAATCACTAATTGCTTAAAAAAATCAAGTGCACCCCGAGAGAGTGAGTATATAACAGTGTATGTATGCACAGCCGGTGCAGCCATCGCGTCATCATTAACTAAAATGCTCGCATTATCTCTCTCTCTTTGGCGTATACGTGTATATACACATATGCACGTTCTGGGCGAAAATATAGCGTATACATGTATATGCCAGAGGAGGAGGAGGAGGGGGGCGCGTAATGCGCGAGCCGCGCCGAGATTAATTAGCCGCGATTGGCCTCCTTCTGGCTGCTCCCGCGAATGAAGAGAGCCCCATGCGCGGCAAAAAGTCGCCAAAGACCACTACCTGATGATCTCTCCTTTCTTTCTGTCTCTGAGTTTTAAATGCCTGGCCTTTTTTTTTTTTTTTTTTTTCTTCCCCTCCTTCTTTTTTTTTCTCCCGTTCCAGCGATGGAAGGCAAAGTATGCGCCGTTTTCTCTCTCTTCCTACAGATGGGATTTGTTGTTTAAAAAACCAACGGGGAAGGGGGGAGCGATCGAGAGTATTTACATGTACACGGACTAGCCCTGCGATTGATTTTATTTAGCTTTGCTGGCGCGCGAAGGGATGTGTTATTTAGTCGGGGATTAATAACGTGCTCCTGGGGGCGTCTGACGCCGATCGTTTGTAATTATTGCCCTCGGGGCCGTGCAGAGAGCCTTTTGTAACATTGTATGTATAACATCACTACACGCCGGATAATGAGCGATTCGTATGACTTTTTTTTTTCTTTCTTTTTTTTTTTTTTTTTTTTTTTTTTTTTTTTTTTTTTTTTTTTTTTTCTGTAAAATGTCCATTCTTTGATGTTCATTACAGTAGTGCTGATAAGAATTTGAAGAAAAAGCAAATCGATGCTTCGTTAACAATATATTTCGCCAAACCCATTGAACCGAACAATTCAATTATTGACCCAACAAGGTACACTGTGTGTATAAAAAAAAAAAAATAAAAAATAAACCGAAATTGTTCAACTACTCGCACTTTAACGGTGTACTTGGTTGGATTAGCAGTGTAAACACACGTTGTTTGACGAACTTTTGCATTCCTCTCGTCCCCCCCTATATACAAGACTGTGTCTTTAACGGCAAAGGGGGAGCGCATAAACACATATATGTATATACACACACAGAGCACAGCGATAACAGAAAGCGCGCCAACATCAAAGCGAGCCTCCGTGCAAATGTCCCGTAAAGTGCTACCAAAAGCGGGAGGAGATGAAAAAGAATGCACTGCAGTACGACCGCGGTGCGAGAAAAGGGGAAGGAAGGAAGGAAGCCCCTCGAAATTCAAAGCGGCTCGTGCGCGCGTAATAATAAGCGAGGGAGGGGGGGGGGGAGTCGTAAAAGGAGCTGTAGCTTTTTTTTCCACGTGTATGTACGTACACACAAGCGCAGGTGGATCGCGGGGGCTTTTATTGTATCGGGTGCCTCGTGACGAGGGGATCGGGATCGGTGACAGGTCGTTCGCCTTTGCCGATTTTCTCTCTCTCTCTCTCGGAGCGTTTAGGGATGTCTCTCTGTTCCTCCTCTTTCTTTTCGAGCGTCTCTCAAATCCTGTCCATTTCTTGAAACGATCGAGGTGCATCGACCCCAACTTGTGGTCTGTTGCACCCGAAAATACTTCCTCGAGATCGGCGCGAATGAGCCTCGAAGGTACGTCCATATACGTATAAAACGCGTCGTTTCGAGTCACATGGGTATATATACTTTCTCCCGTTGGAGGACCAAAACGCAAGATCTCCGTGGTTTCGCCCATTTTTCCTCTTCCTTTCAACCGATTTTGCGTTCAAAAAAGTATAATGTATCATTAAAACACACTTTTACGACGGAGCGACGTAATTGCACGCACGTGGGAAGTGAAAACTGAAAGCTCGTTATGTATTACTTATCCGAGGGTTACAGAACAACGCGCCCTCCTATCGACGCCAATATCTCGAGGGGACCGGTCCGCCGTAACGCGAGGTGTGGCGCGTGTGTACGTATAATACACACTGCTGAGATCTAGAAAAGATTGCTGGTAGTCCTGGAGTACATGGGCGTTTGTTGGGCTCCTTGCGTGGATTTTACGAAGATATCGTTTTTGGGGAAAATTGCTGTTTGTTCCCGCAAACTGGACACGCGGCTGTAACCGTTTATATGATGGGCGATAGGGGCAACAAGAGTGTGTTTTGTCGAAGGGATCGATATACCCGGGAGTATAAAATACCGCGACGTGTTTTCTCCGGGCAAAGATGATCTGTACCTCCTGTGCGTCTAACTCAACCTTTTTTTTTCATTGGCTTGTTAAAGGATTTGACAATTACGAAGCTTTGTCAGTCCTTGCGTATCTCGGAGAGGGTGGGTATGTTTTTTCAAGAAAATTTACGATTTGATGAGAACAATGGTATTTTCTTTTGTTCCGGGTGCGATTCGTTATCAATATCAAATAATTTACAAATGGTCAAATGGCACGAACGTGTCGATAGTATACATTAGGTGTAGATGTTAAGTTTTTCGGAATTCCAACCTTTCGTGTAATGCATAGTCGTTTGTGGCAAATCGTATGCACGGAACATCCAAAAAATATAATTTTGTTTTTCAATCAAGTTGCTTATTGTTATAGCCTTCTAAATTTTGGTCACTTTCGTGGTAAAGGAAAACACAAAACAGCGGAATCTCTAGTTACATATTGTGAGAACCCTCCCCCGTGTGTGCTCTTTAAAACGTCCTGTAACTGTTAACCGTTAAAAAAACAACCCCCTCCAATCCCAAAAAAGGGAGAGATAAAAAGACAGATATATAGAACGGGCGGAGAAAGAGCACGTAGATAAGCGCGTTCGAAAAAGATAGTGGGAGATGAGGAGAAGAAGAAGGAGACGAAAAAAAAGGTACACGGTGGGCACTCACTTTTATCCTGTTTCTTATCCAGCGTCTTGGAGTCGCTCGCTATTCGGCTCACGCAGTCCGGCTCGTCTCGTGCTGCAACGAAAAAAAAAGGAGAAAAATTTAATTTAATTTTGTTTTTGTGTTTTTCGGTCCTTTTACATTTATGTTTATTCATTTCCAACATTGTCCTCTCATGGACCGAAAACATCACACGACGCATCCGATCCAGCGTTAATTTTACGCGCGTGTTTTTCATCAACCCCCAACATGATTCACGTTTCGGGGGTTGGTGCAATCAAGGTGGGGAGTACACGCTGATGGCTTTTCCAGGATGGCTGTACAGGTGTATAGTTACCTGTTACCCTTTTCTCTCTCTCTTTCTCTCATTCGAGTCGTCGGATCGAATGTTAGTCCAGCCCAACGATCCGCGACATCTTTTGCGCTCCCCGTGGACGCTAAAATACCCGGAGATGAGCTAATAATAGACCCTCCTCGACGCTATAGGAAGAAAAGAAAAGAAAAGAAAAGAAAAGAAAAGAAAAGAAAAGAAAAGAAAAAAAAAGATACAAAACGAAGCAAGCAAGTATAAGCAGTTTTCTCCCCCCGACAAAGCTCTGCAAATTAGAACAAGGTCGGAATGAACGGACCGGAATGCGAGAGAGGTATGTATATAAGTAGGTATAGGTACACACACGCAAGAGCACGCGAAAAGAGGAGCAAGAAAGAAAATTAAGGTCTGCGGGACATTCTTCTTGGCGATCGGTTTTCTCGGAACGCTTGCCTGTTATAATGCACTTACGAGTACACACACATACACACACACATGTACCTACCTATTTATATATTATTATATCGGTGTTTGTAGATCGAAAGTGCTTATTCGCGCAACAATGTGTATGGTACATGTTTATAATATATATATAATGGCGCTGGGTATGCAGTATAGTATACAGGGGGTAAAAAGGAGGATGCATGCAATTAAGCAGGGATGGAAGGGAGAGAGAGAGAGAGAGAGAGCTAATGAAAGCATTGCATACACGAGGTGGACAGTTTAGCTTCAATCGTGACCTCCTCCGTACACTTAGGTGCACGTTTTGCGTATTTTGTTACGAAACATCCGAACATCAAGGGGTGAGATGAAACATCGTCGTACACCATGCAGTGATAAATACCGGGTTTTGTTTGCTCCTTTGCTTATACATATATACACGAGCGAGCGAGTGCACAAAAACAACGAAATCACCCGAAATTCCGGCGTTGCAGCTCAACAGCGAATAAAGAAACACACTGGTGGTGGGGTTATTGGGTTGCAAAAAAAAAAAAGCGATCGCCGAATTCNCACATGGAGAATAATCGAAATACTCTTCCAATGAATACGATTAATTTTTTTTTCTTTTAGCTTATGACATGCATTTTAACAAGCAGACACATAGACGTTAAGACAAATAAAATATGATTGTTTTTTTTTTTTTTTTTTTTTTTTTTTTTTTTTTTTTTTTTGGAAGCAAATTATTGCGTTTTTATGACCAATTGAATGGCGCTTTGTTTACAGAAGGGCCCACCAACAATACAAAAAATCTTCATCGAGAATCGATCTGTTGAAAGGGGGAAAAAAAATTATCATCATTATCAAACGTTTTTTTTTTTTTCTACAAAACTGTAAACTCGTGCGCGGGAAACAACGGGAAGGGCAATTATACCCAATGGCAAGTTATAAATGGAAAAAAAAGGACGCGGTGTGTGTTTAGAGTCGTGGTGGAAGGGGGAGAAAAAAAAAAGATTGCTAGGCAAAACGGAGAATCCGGCGGAAAGAGAGAGAAAAAAAAAGAGAGGAGGAGGTCCCCGAAAAGAGGAGGAGGGAGAAGAAAAAAGGCACCGGTGCCGCGTCGCGCGGGAGGTTGGAGCGCGACTTAAGTGAATGAGAAAGATAAATATAATAATTACGGCAAATTGCGGCCTGCCCTCCCCCCCCCCTTGGAAATACGAGCTCGGCAAGGATGCGTTTTGCTGGTCGCATCAGAATGACGGAGAAAAAGACCACACCGCATACCTCACCTACCTATACCTCTCGGTGCCTTTGAATTTTCGAGCTTCTAGCTTCCTTTTTTTTACTTTTCATCTCCTCGTGTCGTCCTGTTTGTCAACCTCTCTCCCTCTTTTTTTCCCCTACAATTAATCGATAAGCTCCTCCAACACATTTCTGTTGAAACTGCCCTCGCGGCGTCATTGAAAACAAAAAGAAAAAAGCCAAGGTAACAACGCTCGCGCTCCTCCTTTCATCATCCTCCCTTTCATTATTATCCCAGGTATGGCATTTCGCCCGTCCTACCTTCCCCCCGCCTCTCTCTCTCTCTAAGTACAGGCACACTCCTCGGGGGAATCGCTGCGAATGTAGGCTAGACGGTTTATGGGCCACGATGTGTTTTCGCAGACCATTGTACTCGAAGTAACTATGTATACACCCCGTCCGGGGAGATGTACGTATACGCGGTGGAATGCCGAGGACGCGCCGAGATGGGCTCTTTGGGAGTCGGGGGTTTTCCAATTTTCTCGGGTTATTGGAGATTTTTGCCTCTGTTTTGCGATACACCGTAATGCGAGGGGAGCTCCTTCCCGAGAAAAATGACCGGCGAGCGCTCGTATGATTTTCGCGCACAGCTCTTTGTACGTGCAGCTGCAGGTTTGAGAGGCAAGAGTAGACGCTGCACGGGAGAAAAACTGTGTCAAAGGAGACGCTGGAAAATTGTTATTGCGCGCTTTGGTCAATTATTATCATCATCATCATCATTCTTACTATCATCTATATTTCTACCAAAAATATTAATATCATTATTATCACAAGCATCATAACTTATCGCATAAGCATTATTATAATCATTATTATAATCATTATTATCATTATCATTGTCATCATCATCATCAAAATCATCATCATCATCATTAATATTATCTTAAACCTAATCGTCTTTATTATTTTTCTCATTATCACCAGTATCATTATCATCATTAGTTTTATTATTATCATAACTATTCTAACATCATCATTATCATCATTATCATAAACATAATCATTATCATCATTCTTTTAAGGTTAATGTTATATTTCTTATCATTCTTACCATTATTACCAACATTATTATTATTATCATAATATTACAATCATGATAATTCCCATCAACATAATCATCCTCATTGTTATAATTATTATTNCAATTATTATCATCATCATCTTTTTTTTTTTTTTTTAACATATACGAGGCTGTCGTGCACCATTTTTGTAAAATTAGAATTCAACGCGTAAAAGTACACTCGATCCTTTACATTATTTCCTTTAATCGTCCTTGAAGAAACAAAAGAAAAGTAATGAAACCGATGCACCAGGCCCCAATAAAATCATCTTGGTTTCCCACTTGAAGCGCTACAAATAAATTCCGGGATGTAAAGAAATAACCATTCCCCGCACTGATGATGGAAAAAAAAAAAAGAAGGCCACACTCTAGCTGAATCATCGGTGGCAGAGATACACGGTACAACTCATAACACAATATCTCTCTCCGTATGGCCCTCGAAATTGATGAAAGTAGAGTAGAAGAGGCCTCATTGTCTTACACGCGTGGACGATTGTATGAGAAATCAAGTCGACTCACCAATATTTTTAACACCTCACGGATACACCAGGGCTAACTCACTTTCTGTAATATTAACGCACCAACTCTCCCTTTCTCTACGACGCGTATACAAGAAATCCAATAGGTGCACGGCGACGATGAAATTTCCAGCACAAAACTCGATTCAAACTCAACTAACGCATCAGCACATACAGAGATGAAATCACATCTACGCATGAACATTTACACCTGCGTGTGCGTGAAAAGAGATTTTCGCGGATCAGCAATGGATCGTTTAATACAATCTCGTGTACTGGTGAGAGTGGGTTTGATTGTGCCCCCTCCCCACCCGAGACCTGATTTATAGGGGGTCTAGTGCACAAACACGAGCACAATAACATCCTTGTAGTTTTTCGCGCGCTGCACTCGACGCGCCCGCGCTCCTTGTTTTCGCGAAAACCCCACTCGCTCCGAGTACACCTAAAATGATGTATCGCCGCATTTGAATATATATCGCTCTCGTTACGTTGGATTAAAATTTCCAGTGCCAACGCGAGAGAGCGCAAAATATCGATTGATTTCCGAAGATATATATTATATGTGTACATGGATGCGGGTAAAAGCTGGCTTTGCCATGTATAGTATATACATGTTACGATAGTCCACTCGAGCTTCAACAAATTGAACCGATGGGTGGGGGACATTGGTGATTTATCCGCCTCGCGTTACAATGTACACACACACACACGTATATTTATATATATGCTTTACGCGTGGGTGTCGATGATGTTGCGCATCAGCCGGCGTGTTGATTTTCGCCCCGATCGACATTCGTCATCGTTAATGCTGCTGTTGCTGCTTTTTCCTTGCTTTTTTTTTTCCCCATCCCTGTCTCTTGGGTTCGTGTCGAAAGTCTTACTTGCACTTATGCCACAGAGGGGCCATCGTGATGGCTTCTGTCATTATTTTCTAATCAATCAGAGACCGCGGCCACTTGGATCGAAAGATGATCGGTAACGTGTAATAAGGTCGCCGATCTCCGAAAAGCCATAGCCAATCGGTATACAATCGCCTTGGCATCGAACAAACGAAATTTCTCGAGTAATGTTGTTTCTCCCGCCCACGTCTTCTTCGAACGCTCGAGTGTACCTCACTGCGCATCGCTTGCTGGGGCTGATCAGGTGGTCGTTGCGTGCCATACCGCGCGCGGAGGAAAGTTTGACTATCCGAGATGAGCAGGGTACGCGTCATAGTGTACACTCGTTGCTGATGGCATACGTGCTCGACAGGAGATGAGCAATTGTTTTTACGGGACCGGAATTTTTTTTTGGTGAGTTATTATTGACCTATGACGCTGGTGGATGCTGGTGTCCTTCCATTGGCACGAAATTAAATATACTGAATAAATAACTATTTTTTTTTTTTCGATCCATTCGAATACTCGAAGAGTTTCGTTACAGGGACGTTGAAAAGCGAGAG